ATATTTCTGAAAAGCACTGGGGAGCACCACTTCAACAATTGGATTGTGTCATACGTTGAGCGAAAGTAGGTGGACCATGAGGTAAAACTGGCACTTGAAGGCTTTTGTCGCGCAACTCCCGCATAGCGCCGGTGTGATAAGTGCTTAGGAGTTCACTAAGTCAGAACGCTAGAAACTCTACGAACACGGCCGTTAGGGGGCTACGCAAGTCTCAATTTTTTTTTTTTTAAAAAACACAAAGTTTTATTTTTGTGTGTTCGAAAAAAAAACTAGGACATCTGGTAATCCCAAGTACCTATTTCGAGTCATTCTCCCTTGGAGAGAAACGCACAGAAAAGGGGCTCCTAAAAATGTCGAGTGGATGCGGATACATTATATCTAGGAACTATGTAAATAGAGGCCCCCCGGGATAATTTTCTGATACCTGATACTTTAAGGAATTCTTTTACTTGTGTGTTTCTCTTCTCATCGAAAAGACTGTCGGTTCCACCACGAATTAAAACAGAAGGGAAACTCTCTACGTATGGCTTTTCATCCGCAATTCGGACTATGGATTGACTAAATTTTGGAATATGGAACATACTGTTTCTGGAATCGGTTGTTCATCATCAGTTGGAATCAGTTGGAAGTCCAATCAATTGGAATCAGTTGGAAGTCCAATCAGTTGGAATCAGGATATTTTAACCAGTTGTTTTCAAAAGGGAATATAACAAGTACATTTTTGCATGAGCCTTGGCTTTGCGTAAAAGGACATGCTAACTGAGACTCATCGAAGAATGGTCCTGTTCCCTTTTGAAAACAACTGATTTATTTGGTTTAGCCCAGTCCCATATCTATCTCGTGACCGACCAATATAAACAAGCCATCTTCATCACAATCGATACGAGATTAACCCACAAACAAAGAAGTACAATCGGGTAGGTATTTGTTTTTAAATTTTCAAGCGGCGGCCGTTCCTAGATTAAATACCACGCTCAAAAAGAGAAAATAACACTCGTTGTTGCAATATTGATGTGTCACAGCATCAGGCAATGATCTTAAACTAAAAAAATTGTGAGATGACAGTTGAAATCAAATTTTTTCGAAGACCTGAAAAAAGTTTACAGAAGAAGAAAAATATATCTTCTTCAGTAAAAAAAAAAAAAAAAAAAAAAATTGTTTCTTAGGATGGGGATTGCTTGAAAAAGGACTATTGATTACCTATATTTTATCCAAATATAATCATGGTTGCCGCACTGGCATGAGTCACAATCCTCGGTAAATCTTTCTATCTTTGTGAGAGCTAAAAGTGTGATACACCTATTTCAACTCCTAAGTAGCTCAAATTGCATAACTAGTAGGATTGAAGGAGAAACGAATCTCACGCTCGTATTTCAACTAATGCATGACCTCACTTTTCAAATCATCCCTCGAAATGAGGAGAGGACGAGGCTGAATTAAAAAAGAGAGGGACAAAAATATTTCGAAGTTTTTTTTACTCGACAAAGACATTTAAATGTTGTTATTACTTGAACATTCGAATCACAAGTTAATCGTTTTTAACACTTTATGTTCATAATAATAGTTTCCTTCGACAGTAAATCCAGAATCATACACAACAAAACCAGGGCCGGATTACTTACTTGCCGCCCATGGGCCGCCTGTTTTTTGCCGCCCCCTTCTCATTCGTTTTGAAACATCAATCAAACCATCAAGTGAACGTGTCGAAGGGGGCGGGTTGCATAAGACGCGTTTACTCGTGTTGGACACATTTTTTTTTTGCGAAAGTCCTGTCAACACTACTAGCAAAAGTTCACGGAACTCGGCGCGAAAGTTAAGTTCCGTAAACCTATCTCTGTGTGGACAAGGCCTTCCATTTATATGTGATGAACGAAAAAATTATGAAAGAACAAACATAAATGTGGTTTAATAATAAGTTAAACTTCCGCCGCCGCGTCGCGCTGACCGCACTGTGTTTGGCGCAATGCGTGAAGTATTCTTGCAGTCTTGTAGGCGCTATGCGTTTCACGCCGCCCGCTGCTGACCGCAGCGACCGCACTGTCTTTGACGCAATGCGCGAAGTATTTATGCAGTATTGAAGGCGCTATATGTGTTACATGCCGACCGCCGCGCCGCGTCGAGGGTTTCTCCTTTTCATCTCAAGTTCTCGTCATCATTGCTCTCTGCGCTGCGCCATTCCATGCCAAATTCCGTATTCGATTTCTCTCTTAGTCTTAACTCGACACAGGAAGGTGCTGTCTATTGTATCACAGAACAACGACAAAATTAGAGATATACTCTCGAGAAATGAGAGAATTTGTCATCTCTTCTCGTTTGTATTTTTTTTTTTTTCTGAATCAAATTTTCTTTATAGCTACATTTAAAAAAATTGTAAAATTTGCCGCCATGGGCCGCAGCCCATGTGGCCACCCCCTATATCCAGCCCTGAACAAAACATAGATTTACTGTATGTGTTCGATAATATCAAGCTTTCATGCATGCACGAATCCAAAATAGTAAGTGCAAATTAGGAGATTGAAGAAGACACGTATCTACTAAATATCATGATTCGCTCTCCAAAATTTTACGCAGCAAGTGATTAAAACCACCGGAATTGCGGAAATCGGCTCCCAAACATGATGAAAGTATTTGTCCATATTTGATAGCTAAAGTCAAAAAACATATCGACGGTGAAACTACCAAACCACGTATCTCGTTTGCGGTGTTTAAAAATCTACGCTCACATTTTATTTTTTTGAAGTAGACCAAATCAATATCATTCCTTGAAATTTTCACAGAATTTTTTCCGCACGAAGAGGAAAAATCACAGAAATTTTCAAGACTGGACGTTAAGTAGTTTTTCATTTAAAAAATAAAGTATGACAGGAAGTCTGCAAACCGAGATACGTGGTTTGGTAGTTTCACCGTCGATATCTTCATTGGAACGTTTTAGAATCTCCGACTAACGTCCTATTTTTATGAAACAAACCCAACCAAAATATCTCTTCGGAATTTTCCATTACCATGCTTGAATGAGTAAAGAAAGTTCACAGAATTTTTTTTTTAAAAAAACTGTTGGTTAGTTTTCTTTTAAAAAAATGAAATCTTAAGCGGAACTTTACAACGTCGCAACAGGAGGTATACTCTTGCTGACTTTAGCCATCGATATATGGACATCACTTCAATGGCTATAACATAGATAAAACTTCATTCATAAGATATATATTTTCATCAGCTTTAAGTGCGAATGCATGTTCATATGCCGTTTAAGAGATGATTTCTGAACTTTCCGTTGTGTGATATGCTCTCTGAATTAAATTTTCAAGTGAGAACCGTTAAGATGTACTTACTTTTGTTCGTACTTACCTAATATGATGACCAATTCACAGAGGGAGAACAAAAATCTTGATACGACTATTTTAATTCCGATGTAATTTGCATACTCAAATTGCATACCCGGTGAAACTGAAGGAAAAACTAATCCCACGCTCGTTTCCTCGATGATTCATCTAGATTTACGGAAAAAAATGACATTGCTGATTTACAATTTTGTCATTGAAAAAAGTGTCCTATATGATATGCATGTTTCAATATAGATTTTGGTTAAAATAGCTTTCCACGTCATTCCAGCTTGGTCATTTCCAGCTTTCCAGTATTGTAAAATGTGCATTGCAAACATGTCGGACATATTTGTTGATGTTTTAATTGTTAAATCAGCAATCCATTTCCATCCGTGCTGTATTAGGGTAACTCAAACGAAAAAGGTCGGGAAAATATTGTTAATAAGGCGACTGACAATGAGCGTAAGAGGATTTCAGTGAGCAGGGACGAGAAATAAGGGGAAGTAAAAGGCTATTTTCAATATTTTAAAACATTTTATTTTGAGACTCATAAGTTAATGTTCAGAGCTGATTGCACAGCTCTGTATCCCTACAGTCTAATGCATTCCTCATCGTTGCACGATGACGAAGCGTCTAGCTACGGCAGACACTGCGTAAGCGTGTGTATTGCATCATTCATACTCATAGTAAAATGAGAGTTGTGAATGAATTGCTGACGCAAGACTTTCATACAATTTCCAAGCATTTATGCAGTTATAATTTGTTTTCTTTTAATCCGGGAATTTTTGTTGCGTATCATAAATTTTTGTATCATCCCCCTCCCCCTCTCAAAGCGAAATTTTATTGCAGATCGGATCGGTCATTGAAAAGTCAGGAACATTTTTTATAAAGAAAACTGACTCTATCGCGAGATCTCTGAGAGCACAAAAATCGTGATACAACTATTTCACCTCCTAAGTAGCTCAAATAGCCTAACCAGTGGAATTGAAGGAGAAACGAATACCATGCCCCTAAGATGTTATCACCTATGATGCAATCAGGGTGGACTGAAGTGTTATAAAGATGCAATATAAGGAAGGACTAAGGAGCTGTAATGATGCAATAAGGAGCGAATGAGGTGCTATGATGATGCAACATGGAGGGACTAAGGTGCTGCGATGATGCAATACCTAAGATGGGACGGTGCGGTGAAGGGCTGAGGATGAAATAGTTTCAACAATTGTGAAACATGTGAAAATAAATTTTACCATCGGTGCTACAGATAATGAGGCATACTCATGGATTTTTTTATTTTATCACTTTCTTCAATTACCCCTGTATTTTTTCTGTACTTTCTCCATAAGCAAGCGAGGAGAGAGGTTTTGGCTGGAGAAATTCTAGTCTTGAGACTTTTTTGCGCCGAAATCTACAGATGCATCGACGACGATGGTTGATCTTGATCGGAATGCGAAAGCACGATTTTTGACGGCGAAGACGCAATGAGAAAGAGATTGTGCCGATTGTGCGTGTGCAATGTGCTTGACGTCACGTTCTCCAAGAAACGTATTCTGTCTGCTGGCTGACGCTGACGGTCGATGAACCACGCCCCCCTCGGCGACCAATCATAGCCGCGCATTGGAAGGCTCGGCGAGTTCGCCTACGCAACTTCGCCGCATCCTAACCTGTCCTACATGATCATGAACTCACTTTCGTTAGCTTTCGTCAGTAAGCTCCCGATTCCAACTCGCGTTCGTCTACCGACTCCCTTCGGCTTTCCTCTCGAAATCAGCGTGGGAAAAAATTGTGCTCTAGTCTGTGTGTATTAAATCCTCGTTTTCGGTTGTTCAGTGTTAACCCAGTTTTGTAAAGAAATTGTTCCTATCGATTAATGATAAATTATCTGTACGAAATGTTAGTCGCTCTGGGTCTGCCTAATTTCCTCAAAAATCTGTCCGACAGTTTCACGTGCCCTGCCAGGAAAAATTTCGATCGAGTCACGGTGAGTGTGAAAAACGATTCTCCATCCAATATGAAACATTTATCTTGTTCTATCATCACAATCGACGATTTCACCCTTCTCCTATAGTATGTAGTCAGGTGAAAAGTGCGGCATTGACTGATAACGATTTTGCTGAATGTGTGGAAAACTATGCCTCAGTTTACCGTCGCTGATTTTTGCTGTACATACATCAGCTATCATGAATGTAATTGGAATTCATACCCTCCATTTGTATCCTCGAGTATGATGATAATGCAGTACAGCTGAACGCTGTATACTGAAATTTGTGAGTCAGTCTGTGTAGTTAACCTTCAAATTTTAATCAACGAACAGGCATGTTCCTGGTACGTACCCATCTTGGTACCTCTTCCAGACAGATATTTTAAATTATTGATGGGAATCTTAGCTCTGCCAACAACTCTTATATAATTCTGTGCACATCCTCAATGGGGGCCTCTTCTCTTGCTTTGATGCATTTCCGTTGGTTGGTAAACATTGTCGCCTCTGCCACTCATCTCCTCGTGAAATTTGAGAGTATTTCACACTTCAATCTTTCAAAATTTTTTGACAAATCACTTTTTTTAGTTATCCTGGATTGCTTTGGAAGTTCGACGCATCAAAAAATGTATGAAAGCTGGGTTATCACAGGGAAGACTTGTCCATCCTAATGATAATAGTTTATCTCAGTAATTTATGCACAACTCGTCTTGGAATGATTAGTCGTAAGCTTTGGAAATGACCATTTGTGTAGCTGCCTTTTAAATTTTTGATGTATTTTGAAGATGATGGGGGATCATATCTCAGATAGCCTTTCTCACCTATCTAATGGTGTTGCTTGATAGATGTCGAAAATATAGCGAGTCCGCAGCTCCAGGCTAAAGGTCCTAGATGTTGTTTTTAGATGTAGGAAATTGATTTAACATCAAAATCTGATGTATAGTGCAGAGGACCCCATTTGCTGTCTTTTCAAAGTAAATGTACCAAATACTTACTGGTCTGTTCTTCCACATGTACGCAAAATGCAATGGTTGGTGCACATGACCCCTGGAGACTGTTCACCGTTGCTCATAAATGATTGGCACTTAAATGTAAATACGCAATTAATTCACTGGGTAATTCAAACAGAGTTTAATGACATTGACTGTTTTGCAGCAGGTCATTTTACTTCAAATGGTAGAAATTAATTTACTTCGATAAATAATGCCCATTCTGTCTCGGTGACTCTTCTCATCGAGGATTTATCTTAGGTTAGGTTTTATTCAATTTTAATTTGACTGAACTCGCCTAAATGTATATCATGCAACCGCGGAGGAGAATTTCTGTCTCTAAATTGTTTTAAGCCTGATAGTTGGCGGCTGACGGTTTTTATTATTTCGGCAAATATATACGGCTATTCTGAGCAGCGCAATGTGGTGGCCAAATCGCGAAGTTCAAAGCCTGGATTCACATCAAGGCTGTCAACTCTAATTGTTTCCCCTTGCATCATTAAAACCGACTAAATCTGATTTATACATGGCAGAAAATGTTTTGACACACTGCTCAGACTGAAAAGTTTCATTTTGTCTGTTAGGTAGCTGGATTTTTCCTGTCCAATTTTTCATAGGGTGCCCTTTTCTTAGAAAAGAAGCAGGTACCTACTTTATAGTAAGATAGACTCTCTCCGTACACCAGTAGAGACCTCTCTGATCAGAAAGTGAATAACTACTTACTTACTGGGTATTTTATGCTATTTTCTAAAGAGATCTCTTCATCTCCATGGATTGGATTTTTTCTTTTTTTTGGGGGGGGGGTGAAAAGGGGCTGATCCCCCCCCCCCAAATAAAAATATCAGCTTTTAATTTTTAAATAATTGTTTCCCCTTGACTGCAAAAAGTTAAGAAATTAGGTACCTACAATGTAGGATTGAAGCATCCAGATAGGTATCAAAAGGGTGATTTTTTCTTCTTTTTTTTCTCTTATTTTTAAAGCTTCATTTCCCTTTGGTTTTTCAAATAATTCAGGGCGTTTTTAGATCCTTCGGGCACATTGGCTGTGATATTACACATTCTCGAGATTTTCTATCTATTTTAAAAATAACATTAAAATATGCCTGCATTAATGTATACATTTTGCAAACCTTAATCGAAGAGATCCTAAAAAATAAGTCAACTAAAACTTCCAGGCTGCAAGCTCAGCCCCTGTCATATTATCAACACTTCAAGGCCTGATCAAACTTTTCATATTTTCTTTTTTTGACTTTTTTCTGTACAAACATCTATGGCCTCCGTTTCCATAATTTGTATGACCATTGGCAGGTATATATAATGAGAAGCGGGCTAGGGCCTCATCGACTATTCTGCCGTGCTAAGGAAAAACGCCGTATGAACATTCGAGAGTTGCCAAATTTCCTTCGATAAAATGTTTATTTTTCAGGAAACTTATTAATATTTTTCCTTGAAATCTTCAGACACTTTAGATCAAATTACAAACAAAATTGTCTGAAACATTGGTAGAAAAATATTCAAATAATTTCCTGAAAATTAGTGATTTGCCAGAGGAAACTTGGCAACGTCTGAAAGCTCATACGGCGTTTTTCCTTAGCTCGGCATTATTGTATTCGTCGTAACTTAAATTGCATAGGAGTCGTAATGAAGGATCAAATAAGTTAAGTCCACATTTCTGTCGACGCGACGGATGTTCTGTGGATCTATTCTTTGCCAATCTGAGTCGAGAGGAAATACGAGAAGGAAATAGTGAGAGGCGAGAGAAGAAGGGAACAGAAAGTGAATCGTTGGTTAGAGCGAACTCCAGCGTGGGAGAAAAGAGATAGACAGGAAATCAGGACGAACAAGCTCTCTGGGTCACACAGTTGACTGTTCAGATGACAATATTTATGTAACGTGCTATTGAATGGATTTAACCAAAATCAGCGTATTTGCATATCAAATTGCTCAATCCCTCTCGTATTTTATTTTGCCATGGGGGACTATAATTAGGAACTATCTCTGGCTCTCCCTTGAAAGTACCTTTTTGCATGGGAAACCGTTGACTCATATCCTGTTTCTAAAATGAGCCAGAAATATTGGTTCCTTATAGCAAAATGTAATCCAAATAACGTAACACCTTGACTTTTTCTTTGAAATATCTACCCCTATATTATCAAGAATTTACCTTCAAAATTCAAAATTTCAAGTGAGAATTCTCTTACTCATCCGGCAACAAATAAAACACAAAAGAAAAGGTGTGCCACATGATGTAGTTAAGCTAATTTTGGTTTTTCGTCCCCCCAAAAAAACTTACATCGGCGCCTTACGGCCCTTCAGAGCTCTTTTCTCGCTGCGCAGATGTGTGTATTTTATATTTCTCCTTCTTCAGTTCATTTTTCGCATTTGATTTCACACCGGATAGAGTTCATTTGCTTTTTAAAGTAAACAGAGATAAAAATTAACTTTTAGAGTTTGCTCTCGGAACTACTGATAAAGCCGAAAAATCGGAAAAAAGAACTTTCACAATCTTTTTATCGCAGAAAATACGAGGATAAAATATTAAGCCTGCGATTATCAGTCACGTGAATGAAAACGGTCCGAACCGAAGCGAGCATTTTCGTTTGGGGACAGGTGCGCGATAGAAAAAGCATGCACTCTATGTTATAGTATCCTCTAGTTATTTTCTATCTATTTTATTTCTATTTTTTCCTTTTCACAATCATGTGGACTACATTTTGCGTCAGGGAGCCCATATTTCCAGCTCATTCACAAGTTCTTGAAAAGTCATTGAAAATCTGGGAAAGTCAGAAAATCTGGTCCAACCCTGAGATTTCAGGGAATTTTGTCGCAGAACCTCAAAATTCTTTCTTCAGGCCGAAAAATGTTACTATTTTGTACCGCTTTTATATGCTCTATCAGCGGTCATCAGAACTTTCACCTTTAAATCCTCAGATTTTAGGTTTTTTTAATGTCAAGAGACCTTACTGTAAACAATTTTTATGGAAGAAATTTACAGGAAAATTTACGTCAAAAAAGCATTGATAAGTCTTTGAAAAATGAAGGAAGTTTTACTCAAAAACTCCATGAAGAAATGGAAAAGTTGGGACTTTTTGAAATCCAAGAAAAGTTGTCACCCTCAATTAAAGTCGGCTTGAAGCGCATAGCGCCTACAAGACTGCATGAATACTTCACGCATTGCGTCAAACAGTGTGGTCAGTAGCGGTCGGTGTGAAACGCATAGCCCCTACAAGACAGCATGAATACTTTACACATTGCGCCAACACAGAGCGGTCGGCGCGGCGGTGGAAGTTAAAATTTTTAACCACTATAGTTGCTCTTTCATAATTTTTTCGTTCGTTTTTTATAAATGGAAGGCCTTGTCCAAACAGGGATGAATTTACGGAACTGAACTTTTGTTAGTGTTGACAGAGCTTTCACAACAAATGTGCCCAACACGAGTAAATGCGTCTCACACACCCCTCTCCCATGGGCACATTCACTTGATAGTTTTTATAGATCGTATTCGACAGATCACACAGGTGAGATTATATTGATATCGATTGGTTCAATATGTAACCACAGCCTCAAAAGTCAATTTAGAGATCTGAGGTAACGGGTCTTATGTGATGGAGTTTTCATTCTCTCGAGTACCAAATGGCAGTGAAAAGTGAAATTGTTCGGAATTATCTCATTTTCAGCTTTTCCAAATTAAACCCTGAAATTTTTGTTTGAGGTTATGTTCTATTGTTTTGAACCAAACGATACATCGAACCACTGTCGAATACGATCTATTGATGCTTCAAAACAAATGAGAAGGGGGCGGAAAAATATTGGCGGCAAGTAGGTAAATCCGGCCGCGACCAGGAGACGAGAGAGAATAGACCGACCTCTAAGTCACTCGAGACAAAATGAGTCGTTCTGTTAATTGATTCGCGTTTTTCCGCCTCCCATCTTATCTACACTATTCGAGTTGAGAGCGCGACTAGCGCCAGCTAGACGGATCCCAAGCCACGAGAAAAGAGCAAACTTAATTAA